TTGGGGGCATCTGGGTGGTTCTGTTAAGCATCTCTTGATTTCAGCTCAGGTCACAGTTCATGGAATTGAGCCCTACAACCAGCTAAGCGCTGTTAGTGCTGAGCCTGCTTGGGATTCTTTCTCTCCATCTGCCCCTCCCCTGCTTTCTCTCTCTCTCTCTCAAAATAAACATTTAAAACAATTTTAAAAATGTATAAAAACGGAAATTTAAATTTATCAAAACTTCCTGTGAAATAAGGTGCTAAGCATTAAAGTTTCTCCTCTGGATTTGAGGTTTTTGTGATTATTGTAATGAATAATTGATCAAAACAACATCAATATGTTATACATTTCAATAATAATTAAAAATAAAAAGTAAAATTTACTGTTAATGTGTCTTATAATGAGCTAAACTGTGTATCTAGGAATCAGTATGATTTACTGTCATAATGAACCAGAGTAATGTATTGGTTCTATTCCCACTTTTATGAATTTAACATAGGAGAAAGTTCAGAGAAACTTTCTCTTTCAGAGAAAGTCCATTCACATAAAGCAGTAGATGAGAATGGAAGTTTTGTCACAGCAGAATCACAGAATTCTTTTCATTCCTTCTGGGTTACAGGCTAAAAAGCATATAATCATCTATCGTCAAATACTATTTTTAATAATCTCTCTTAGCTTATATTTCATATAGGTCAGCCTCAAAATTTGTTTTAAAACGAGAAAAGGACTTGTCACCGCATCATTAGAGTTATTCATTTTCTCAATTCTGTGAAGCATACCAAAAAATCTTATGAGGATTCATCATGTCCTTTCATTCAGAGGCTTGTTTATTCTAAGACACTGAAACAAGATTGGGAAAACTGAAATGCTGTTCATTTCAACATGCTCTGGCAAAGAAAACAAAAACATTAGAAAAACTCAAAACCAATTCAAATGTTTTTATGTTATTACTTGCTTTATATGTATTTCTGAAAAAACAAAATACCTCAGAGCCGAAAATTGGGCTCATTTAGTTGGAGCATGTCTATCGTGTAACATAAATGGCAAAACCTGCTGCTAATGCCAAACCAGCCTGCCAATGGTGGCTTACTTTTCAGAAAAATACGATTTAATTTTCCAATCAAATAAGTGTTAACCCATGTCCCCATTCACCGCATCTCATCTGACTTCTAATTCCAAAATTTCAGTCAGCCACAAATCCTTATGTCACTTGGATGAAACAAGGCACTACCCCTTCCAGCATTTCTCCTTTGCTTTTTGGGGTTTGCTCTTCTATCAGGAATGCTATTCTTTCATAATGAATAGAAAATGAAAAGGTGAGGTCGTTTCAGGAAAAGTCTTACATTCTGGGAATTCGGAACACTGCAACTCAGGCCAGGTTTTAATGCGAGGCTTTGCCCTTAAACAGATACATTTATAAACATACGAGACCTCTGAAAGACAGACTTTTCCACTGTGGTCCTTGCATGTCTTTGTCCTCGCAGCTAAACCTCTTCACACTCTCTCACACATGACTCTGACCCCAAAATGTCCCTCACCACCCCTCTGGATTAAATCCCAAATGATCAAACAATGGCTACTAAATATCTAAGGACAATCCTTTCTCTTCCCCCTCATAAAATGTTCTGCACTCATTCCCCAAATTAGAATGTTGCTTTTGACATCTTTTCTCATGCCCAGCGTTTTCAAATAAAGGCTTATTCTTTGCTCTGATTTTCTTCCATATAAAAAAGGGAAGGGCAGGAAGCTCTCCTTAATACCTTAATTAACAGAAACTTCACTATACCAGTAATTTGAATTGTCCCTTTTTTCCAGACACCCTGGAAAGTTTTCCACCTTCTCCCCCAGGGCAACACACCATAAAAATACTCACGAGGCATGGGAGTATGCCTTTCTTCTTTAAAGTAGGAGAAGGGCAATGGTGAACAGGATGTGGGAAAAGAGAAGCAGCATACTACTTTGCTACCCTGATCAAAGGAGCTTTGTTAGAAAAGAAACACAGAAGTTGAGAACTGGGGATATGATTCCTGTAGAATTACTTGCACCCCAAGGTTTGAAGAACACTGGTTTGGTATGTGTAAAGCACAAATCACAAGTAAAGGGGTCACCACGAGCAGTCTTCTGTTACACAACAGAATCAGACTCACATGTACAGCAGCTATAGGAATGATCAGAACACAAATACAAACAAATATTTATAAACCTTTTAAAGAAATAAGTGTTTAAAAATATAGTAACAAAAGACTATCAGAAACGGCTGGGCCAATTTAAAAACAACAAAGAGAACACCCAGAAATAAAAAATGAAAACCGAAATTCAACAAATGGGTTATACAATAGGATATATGGAGGTGAACACAGACCTGCAGAAATTATACACAATGTAGCACAGAGACACAAAGGGATGAAAACATTAGGAGACAAAGGAGAAAAGTGAAGCACGTGTCTCATCAACATTTCAGTAGAGAACAGAGAATACTTGAACAGATAATAGGGAATTTTCCAGAATTTATGGAAGATACCCATCTGCAAATCCGTATGCCAAAGTCCCAAACAAGGTAGATGAAAAGAAATCAAGTCTTGGAAAATTAGAATATAAATCAGGAGAGTGATAAATTGGCTATATTTTAAAATTAAGAACTTTTGAACATCAAAGGACTTCACAGAGTCAAAAAATCCAACTATGAACTTGGAGAAGACATCTGCAATGCACATACAACAAATGATTAGTATATTATTAAGAAAAGATAAATACTGAAATTAAAAAAAATAGAAGCAATAAATAGGTATTTCAAAAGGGAATCACAAATGGTAATTAACATATGAAAAGACGCTCAACCTCATTAAGACTCAGTGAATTGCAAATTCAGCTTGAATTTCACGCTCACCAGATTGGACAAAATTTTAAAGTCTAATAACTTCAAGTATGGTGGGTACCTCAGTGTTCATTTTATTATTCCTTAAACCATACACACGTTATATGTATTCTTTAATATGCATGTGTTTCATAACAAAAATATTATTTAGCTACCACTTGGATTTAGCAATGCAAATGTTTGTTCATGGCCCTGTTGAGAGCAGTTTTGGTGAAATAAAAGGCATGAAAAGCAGACTGCAATGAGCTGAAAAGGCTCTGGGAGAAAGGGAGGTAAAGACAATACCCACGACTATTTCAAGCTTACCTTTGAAGTTAGGCAGACAGGACTATAACTTTACAAGAATGTCATAGTGGCAGCTTTTCTTTTTTCTTTTTAAATTAAAAAAAAAAAAAAAAAACTGGGGCAAGTTTAGAAAGAAACAGCGAAAGGGGGAAGATGATGACACAGAAAATAAAAGTCCCTAGGTATTCACAAAGGTATGTAATACAGAACTCATGAACGGGAATTTGTTTTAGACAGGAACAAGGGTTCCTACTTACTTCACTGTTATAAGAAATTACCTCTTTGACGTTATCGCATCATTTTTCTCCTTGCTATAGCCACTCCAGTTACAATGGGCTCCTTGATCCTCCTTCAAACAAGCCCCTGCCTCATGACCTTTGCATATATTATTCCCTCTATATTTTCCAGATGATGCAAAGCCTGTCTTTCTCTTCGTTCAAGTCTTTGCTCAGATGTGAACTCAGTGACACATTCCATAACTACCTTGAAAGTGAAATCCCCTCCTTGCTCCCTACCACCCTACTCCTAGTACTCCCTTCTCTTTTCCTTGCTTTGTCTGTCTTCAAAACCTTCTACTAGTCCATATAATATGCTCATTTTATTGTTTAATCTCCTCTCTTCCTCACTTGTATATATGCTGCATGAATGCAGGAACTGCAGCCACAGTGCCTAGTAATGCCTGATACAGGAAGAAGTTCAATAAGTACAAGGTGATTAAATGATTAATAGTCCTTCCTTACTTGTGGAACCTGAAAAACAAATATAATGGAAATAACACTGTATGATTTGAACAAAATGGGAGACAGCCTAGAGAATAATCAACTTACTGCCTACAGAAGAGGTGACATTTGGGTTAGATCTTGTATCATGAGGAGTTTGCCAAGTGGGAAAAAAAACAGGTAGACATTCCAAGAAACTGAAGAACGTAGAGGTGTGAAAGGGCCTTGAATACTTGAGAAATGGAGGTACTGGAGTTTGACAGGGATGAAAGTAGACCAGAGTTTAGTGAACGTTTCAATGTTCACAAAAGAGGACACATTATATTGAGCTTTTCAATGCTAAAAGTCCTTCACAGAAGATTACAATTGCTTGGTAACTTGTTTTATTTGCCGTCAAGTTAAAGTTTACATAAAAAAACTACTAGACATACTACGAAGGAAAAAACTTGAACAACCTAATTTGTTCTCTATCAACTGTAGATTATAGGTCTCATGATCAACCAAAGTGATAGTATTGCTACCAAATGTTTTGGCCCCAGGTATTATTCAAAGAAGACAAAAAATTCCCACTGGTGGGAAGATGGTCAAATTCAAGTGCTAGTTTCCCAGCAACTCATCTCCATTTCATCATTTATGAGTTTCCAGAATGGGCTTTCATGTTGTCATAATTAACCTGCACTTATTACTATGTTCTCAATTAGTCTACCTTCTTCCTTTTGTCCACATCACTACCGTCTTCGGGACACTCACCTTTGTTTTAGCCCCAACACAATTAACTTAACTGTCGAGGTGATTTTGGAGACAGGAGACTTGCTGAGTATACACAGAAAACCTTAAGACAGTGTGTCACTGAGCTCATGAGCCCATGCAGCCAGTTTGGCAATATTTAAGCCCAGGACTGGAGAGGCGACGAAAACCAGGGGTGCTTTTAAGTTTTGTCTCTCTGGGCCTGCGAGGGGGGAAAAGGGGGGAAGGTGGGGAAATCCCAGAGAAGGGCGGGGCCGCACTGTGTTCCCAGGGCAGGCCAGAGGTCAAAGCTCAGGTCCAAAGCTGAAGGGGCGGGGCCTGCCTTAATAACCAAGGGGTGGTGTGTGGGCCCCGGAGGGTAAGGAGAGGCACGGCGGCTCGGAAAGACTCACAGTAATAAGCGACCACAGGGTCCCGCTTGTCATGCTCCTGAGCCGTCCTCAGATGATGCTGTATGCTCTTAAACTGGGGGGGGAGTGGGGGCAGCTGAGCAAGCGCGGCCATCTCTATTCCAGCAATCACCACTTCCTACTCGCGCGCTACCGACACTTCCGCTTCCGTCCGGCAGGTCGCGCGCACGAACGCGCAAAAATCCCGCCCACTTTCCGTTGCTCAGCGACAGCAAGTCAACTACGGGCTCCCAGCAGGGACATTCTCAGTGTACCCGGCTCCGGAGGGGTTAGATACCAGTGTAGGCTAAGCGGCACCGCAGTGGTGCCGCTTGTGGCACCAGCGCTCTCTGCTGGCTGCGGAAGGGAGGGAAAAGAGTTTTTGTTTTCTTTTACTTTCTTGCGTCCCCCAGGCCTTTTTTTTTTTTTTCCTTTTTTTTTTTTCTTTTTCTTTTTTTCTTTTCTCTTTAGCGAGACGGAAAGTAGAAAGGGGAAAACATGAAGAGAATAAAGTTTGCTGATTGGGAGAAAGGGTAAAGTGAATTGTCGTTGACATCATTCAGGAATTATCACTTCCAGTTCCTTAGATTATTTTAATAGCGTCCGTAGAAACCTTTCTGATTGTAGAAACAGTAAATTCAATTATTGCCCGAGATGAGAGATGATGTGTTTAAAATTTTATATTGAATTCTTTTATATTGATACATTGGATAAAATAACCAGACTTATTTTCAACTTAAACACTTAAGCACATAAGCTTAAAGAAAATTGAATTTTCCTTCTGAACTGGGTCGGTATCCGCTAGCGAATGAATAATCTGAAGGTCATTTATTTCTGGGTAATGATGAACAATTTGTCAAGTATTTTAACTCATACCATTGTAGACATCAACTTTTCCTTCTACAACCAATGACTTCAATTGTTTTTCTCTCTTCTCATTCTTTCATCTTCTGGGACTTTACACTTCATTTGCCCCCTCCAGTAACCTTTATCTTTATTGCTTTATTTCCTCAGTTCCCAGTTTTCAAGGTTCATCTTAAAACTAGTTTTCATTGAAATCATACTATCTCCAAAGAAAAAGATCTCAAGCTCTGAAATTTGCCCTGCATGCTGTTTGCTAATCACCAAATCATCCTCCCCTCTCCCTCAACCCCTGCAGAAACTGCCCTGTGTCCTGTGTCCGTATTTTTATCCCTACTTCCCCTCCTTTGTCCCTCTCTGTTGGCAGAGTACATTGCTCTAGGTCTGCCTGTTTTTACCTGACAGAAACTGATTTATGTATTCTCCCCAATCTCAGTAACACATTCACTATCACTTGAGAATATAGGTGCTACAGACTGAATATGTTAAAATTCGTTTGTTGAAACCTAATACCCAGTGTGATGGTATTAGGAGATGGAGTCCTTGAGAGGTGATTAGGTGATGAAGGCAGAGCTTTTATAAATGGGATTAATGCCTTCATAAAAGAGACCCCAGAGAGCTAGCTGGCCCTTCCCACTATGTGAGGATACAATAAGAGGGCAACAGTCTGCAACCTAGAAGAGTGGTCTCACCAAAACCTGACCATGCTGGAACCCAGATCTTAGACATCCAGCCTTCAGAGCTGTGAGAAATAAATTTCTATTGTTTGTAAACCACACAGTCTGTGGTATTTTGTTATAGCAGCCTGAATGGACAAAGACTGTATGGTTTCTCTCTCCTCTTATTCTCACTATTCTAACTTCCAGTCATAAGTTGCTGGATTGGTAGAAACTAAAGCAGAGTGGGATAACCATAAATGTCATCATTCTGTCCTTATGACTTCTCATTTATTATTTTCCTATTCTTCATTCTCAACTGTGCTTATCCTTAAAGTTCACCTAAGAAGTTTGTTCTGTTTTTGTTGTTGTTTTGTTTTGTTTGTTTTAAAGACATATCTACATATCACCCCCAGGCAGTCAGATGTAATTGCTCTTGGTTGGAGCCTAAATATCAGTATTTTTAAAAGGTCTTGGGGAATTTTAATGACACATCTAGAGGTGAGGACTAGTGCCATAAAGAATCTTCAACACATAGCTGATGTTTCAAGTCTTCTCTGCTGTCTTTAAGCTAGACCCTCTGCCCTGATTGCCTTGATGGGACACTAAAGTTCCTGCTGTTGAGATTAAGGTCACCAGATAGGAATTGTTTGACCTTGCCTTTGCCACGACAAAGTAATAACAACTAGTTAACACTTGCTGAGCATCTATCATGAATCATGTGTGTTTCTAGGGATTTAACGTCAACTCATTTCATCTTTACAACAACCCTATGAATAAGGTATTATTGTTTTCACTATCTTACAGAAGAGAAAAATGAGACACTTAGAAGTTATGTAACTTGCACCAGATGACAGCCAGTAAATATGAATGTTTGTTATTAAAAATCCATGTGCTTTCGTTTCAGAGCCTGTAAATCTAGTCACTACTCCTTGACTTTAATATCTCTAGACCAAAATGTTATTGTATTTTATGTTTTTCCTATTGAATGATCCTGTGTCTGAAAATCATGTGTTCCTATTCCTAATGAAGTCTATACCTTCCTGTTATTCTCCTTTTTATTATTAATATCAATATTTAATGTTAATATTTTAAATATTTATTTTTTAATATATTTAATATTAATATTTTAATATTTAAGTTTTAAATATTTATTTAGTTTTGAGAGACAGAGACAGACAGAGCATCAGCAGGGGAGGGGCAGACAGAGAAGGAGACAGAACCCGAACCAGGCTCCAGGCTCTGAGCTTTCAGCACAGAGCCCGACTGGGGCTCGGGCCCACCAACCGTGAGATCATGACCTGAGCCGAAGTCAGATGCTTAAGTGACTGAACCACCCAGCACCCCTTCCTGTTATTCTCCTGATCTCTCCTTTCAGGACTGGAGGTTGCTCAGGTCTCTTTCTCATTGGCATATGTTCTAGGAAGAAAGGGTATGTAAGCAAGTAAGTGAAGTGGTTAAAATTGGATTTTACTCCATCTGCCAACACACGCTCTCTTCTTTCTAAGTAATGAACTCCCATTAGGAGAGGATAATTGATATGAGGGAGAAAAGTAACAGAGACTGTTAGCTTAACAGCACATTGAAATTATGCTGTGAAACAAAATAAATCTTAACATGAGGTTGTTTTTTCTTGTTGATGTTTTATAATGAAGTAGTTACTATGAAGACAGACCCAAACTCTCCTCCATCCAGCTCTGAACAGTTGCTCAAGGATCTTACATCACCCTCCAGATTGGGGCTTGAATCTATGCAAGGTAGAGGAGGGCATGGATGGAATTCACCAGCGAAGCTGCCTGGGCCTGGCATTTTCTTTGTGGGAAGGCTTTTGATTTTTAATGTAATTTCTTTAATAAGTATAAAGATATTCATGTTTTCTGCTTAATTAAGTTTTTAATAATATATGCTTTTCAAGGAATTTGTTCATTTTATATAAGTAGCAAACTTATTGGCATAACATTGTTCATGATGTTTCCTTAAACTCATTTAAATATTCTGTTGAGATGCCCCTTTTTTTTAATTTATGATCTGAGTAATTTTCATTTTCTCTTTTATTATCTCAATCTGTCTATGGAGGAATGTATCAGTTTTACTAATCTTTTCAAGAACCACTTTTTGTTCCACTGATTTTTTTCTATTGTCTTTCAGTTTTCTATTTCAAAGTTTTGTGCTTTTTAAACAAATTTCCCTCCTATTTAATTTGTATTTAAACTGTTCTTTTTATAATTTCTTAAGGTGAGAGGCTTAAATCACTTTATAACTCAATTTTTTTCCTACCAGAACATTTAGAACTTTTAATGTTCTGTTAACTAGTCTTCTAGCTGTTTTCCATAATTTTTCAGAAATCATGTTTTTATTAGCATTTGTTTATAATAGTTTTCAATTTTCCACATAATTTCATCTTTAATCTATGGGTTAATAAAATTGTATTGTTAGTTTCTCAAATACTTGGGCATATTAATTCCTAGTTTAATTCCATTGTGATCAGCTTATATACTCTGTGATTTAATTCCTTCAGACTTTCTCATGGCCCAGCAAATAGTCTCCCTTGGTGAATATTCCATATATGCATGAAAAAAATATGTATATAATTTGCTGTGGTTAGGTGAAGTGATTTCTAAATATCAATTAGTTCAAGTCATCTACTAGTAACGTTTAAGACTCCCATATCCTTTCTGATGTTCTTTCTATCTTCTTGATTAGTGAGAGATGGGTGTTGAAATCTTTAATTATAATTGAATTTATTTCTTTTTTGAATTTTATCAAGTTTTGCTTCGTGTAGTTTGCTACTCTGTAACTGGTGACATTACAGAACTGTTATGATTCCTGGTGATATTACACTTTAATCATTATTAAATGTCTCTTTTATCCCTGTCATTATCCCTTGCCCTGAAATCTACTTGAGTTTTCTTATATTATAGCCACTTCAGCTCTCTAACGCTTTTGCATGATATATCTTTTTCCATTTTTTAAAATCTATTTGTAAATATATTTGAATGGCCTAAGTACTAAATCTTTAAGTATTCAAAAATATTTAAAGTGGGGTTCTTGTTAATTGTTTGGTCTGGCTTTTAAAAGAGTGCATTCGTTTAATCTTTGTTTTTGTTTAGGGTGGTAAGAGCTTTTATACATATTGCTACTATTGATATTTTTAGTTTAGGTCAACCGTCTTATCTTGCTTTCAATTTGTCCCATGATTTTTTGTTTCCCTTTTCTCTTTCTGTGACCTTCTGGACTAATTGCATGTTTTATGATTCCATTTAATATACTTTGTTGGCTTTTCAGCCCAAATTTTCTTGTTTTGTTTTATCAGCTTATATGTCATAGTATATATCTAAAGATATATTACCACAATATACTTTAACTGATAATATACAACTTTATATATTGTAAGGATCTGATAATAGTATACTATCACACTTAATTTGATCCACCAGATTTATCTATTTTATTACTGTTTTCTAGTACCATTTTATATTTGTATTTTATATGTTTTATATGTTTGTTTTCTAATTTATTACTGTACTTTCTGACTTTATCCTTATTAAATTATTTTAACATTTTTCAAAAAAAGTTTATTTGTTTATTTTGAGAGAGA